TAACAGGTGTTGAGGCATCTAATGGCTTGAAGCATTTTTAATGATGAATGGGATAATGTAAGAGAAAGCTAACAAGTATGCTTGAAGTCACAGAAATCAACCATTCTATGTTGGTGGTATCATTTGATAAGATTTAGGAAATGTTGCCCTGCTGGAAGAAACATGCCACTGGAGGTAGGCTTTGAGAATTACACACTCACACCCTTCACAGTTCCCACACTCTACTTCAGGCTGAAGTTTAAGGATGTGAGTTCATAGCTTCCTGTTTTAGCTGCCATGTCTGACACTTGTTGCCATGCCACTTTCATGGTGATCCTTTATGCCTCTGGAACCAAGGGCCAAATTAAACTCTTTTATAAGTTGACCTAGAAACTATATCACAACAACAGAAATAGAACTAACAAAAATTCATAAAGTTTTACACCTGAATTAGGTATTTATTTCAATTTAAACAAGTACAAAATCTAAAAAGGTTTCATTATCATTTAAATTTATAGGGCAAGTTTTACAGCTCTAGAGGGAAAAGTAACCAGACTATCAGAAGTCAGGCTATACTTAGAGCTGTGAAACGAAGGTATGCTAGATACTTATAGCTTGGAAGAGAAAGGAAAACTGACTGTTGGATGTCAGGCTCTACCTTCAGCTGCAAAGGGAGATAGCTATCTTGGATACCTATTGCTGAGAGGCAAAAGGTACCCTGTCTATTGTGAAGTCAGGATACACCTGAACCCGTGTTTCAGGGGGAATTGTCTCCCCACAGAATGTCATAATTTGGCTTCTCTCTAAAAGTGAGCCATAACAACTGGGCTCTGCACCACTCTGCTAAGAGAGATTACCAGGAGAGATGTCCATTTCTACTCTACGCTGCTCCTTTGAGGAAGATTCTCAGCAGAGCTATCATATGTTTCTCTTCTTTGCTCTGCTAGGGTGTTTCCAGCAGAGATGTCCATTTTCTCTCAGCTCCAGCTCAAAATTTTACTTCTATGATTCACTCAAGTAAGGGGGAAATTGCTGCAGAATATAACTGAGTCCAATGAAAAGCTG